CCCCAAAACCCCAAAACCCCAAAACCCCGTAATATGTAAAGTTATTAGATAGAGAGGATTCTAAATCTTAATTCAAATTATAGTTTTTAATATGGATCTCAAATATAAAATACTTAAGTCTTCTGTCTGATGTAATTTGTATAATAAAATTAAATCTAATATGATAAAAGCAAAGAAAGACAGTGCGAATAAACGGTTTCATTAAATGATCTAAAAGCTGGATATCTTTGGGATTCCTGTATCCTTAACATATAAAGATGAGCCTCATCTCAAGTCATTTGTTGGTGGACTAGCAACTCTAATTGTTAGAGTTGGAGTCTTCATCTATTGCATTATTCAACTAATTAGTGTTCTATCAAGAACAGCAACTATCTAGGCTTCGTTTTATAGATGAGATCTTATCAAAGACTCTACTGAATACCAATTAACATTAAAGAATTTCGATTATGGAGTAAGACTAGAGTATATTTTTTATGAATAAGAACCTGATGTACAAGCTAATCTAGATTAATATGTCTATATGTAAGTCACATGTAATTAAATTATCAAACTAAATAATAAGCTTAAAGAATCTTATTCAATCTGTTATAATATAGGTAGTTTAGCTAGAATATCTATACTTGGGTGAAGGATTCCAAAGGGAATAATGTCTTTCAGAAAAAGAAAATTAAAACAGAGCTTGCAAACTGTAAAGATGGAAGACTTGGCTTGAATCCTGGGGGCTAAGACTATCTGGGATTGAAAACTGGATATCAGTGCCCAAAAGATATAAACTATCAAATTAAAGGAACCTTTTCTGGACAGTAGTCTAAATTTATTCAAGCATCTGTAAGAGATTGCAATTAAACCTATCTTGATGAAGTGTATAATAAGACAAAAAAATGTAAATCTCCCAAGGAGATCGCAAGAGTATCATCTTTACTGAAACTGTACTTTGTAGTAGAAAATTCATACTTTGATGAGACTGATTATTCTAACAATGCAGTAAAGAAGTTTTTAAAACCTTATTATCTCACATCTAAAAACAATACCAGCATGTACTATTACATGCTTATTAGTTAGAATGAAATAAACAAACAAGACAACTTATTTTTAGAGAATTCAGAGCTAGATACTTTCCTTGAAACAAGAATCGACTATTCTGTCTAGTAAGAGTTGGAAGCCGTTGATGCCTACAATAATGCTTATATAGCTATCTACATCTAAATGGATGATTAAGTTAAGACAGTAAACAGAAAGTTGATGACATTTTTGGATGCTCTTGGTAACACAGGAGGTTTTATGAGCATATTATTTGTTATCGCTTTTGCAATGATCTAATACTTTTAAAAGACTATATACTACACCTCTTTAATTAAAAGCCTGTTTGTTTATCAAACTGACGTGAATCAGCAAGATCCTAATAAAGAACAAAACGATAAGAGTAATGATTAATACTAATAATATTAGAAGGAATAAGATCAAAATAGTGAGAACAGTGAATAAAAGACATTAGAATATTACCCAGAAAGTCAGAGGAAAATGGCAGAGAACTAAAGTTTATTCAGGAAAATATTTGACTAATTAAGAAACAGAGAAAAGCTTCATTACAGTATTACAGATGCTGTTGAGGCTTAGATTAAGAAATTTGGTTGCTGCTGTAGAAAAATATCTCGTGAAAAAGCTCTAAGAGATTTCCTATATAATAAAGGAATACTTAAGATACACAAAGAACTAGACCTTAGATATGTAATAAAGGAATTGAGAACTTTGAGATTTATTTCAAATATACTGTTGAATAAACATTAAAGATTCTTGCTTCCATACTTTAAAGCTAATCTTCTGAATCATTAACCTTAAAAACGCTTTGACGATTAAGACAAACTAAGTAACTATTTGAATAAAGCTATATAAAGATAAGATCAAGCAAAAATAGATAAAAGAATACTTAAATACATCGAACTATCAGATGATGATTAAGTTGAAGTAAAGATAATGCCAGACAAATTAGAAAACACTAATTCTCCTATTCTATAGAACAATGCGACTAAAAGCATTGATAATACTGATGTCTAATCATAAACATAATCTTAATAAAAATCAATACCTAATAAGAGTGGATTAAATAAATTAAAATTTATAATAACAAACGAATAGTTCTTGAAAAAATCAAGCTTAAAAGAGTTTAAATCTGCATCGCTTAAATACCCTTTAAAATAATCACTCAAATAAACTATCAAAGTTTAGCCTTCGGGAGGAAATCAAGGTTAAGTTCAAGAATAATAACTTTAGTTGGGAGCCACCACAAATAACATTTAAATTAACATCAATAGCAATAACAATACCATTAAAAATATTTAACAAAATCATGATATAATCACTCACGCACAGGATCATATTAAAACCTTAGGATTAGGTACAAGAAATGATTTTATCAGCGATAATACTTTTATCAACAACACTTTTCTGAACGACATTACTGCTAATTAATATGATGATGAAAATGAGGATATATTGATGGATATATAAAGAGTGATGGATCCAGATCTAGATTATATTGATGAAGAAGAGAGAGTGATCTCACATTATGACTGAAACATATTCTGAAAGGAAGATATTAAGTAATCAATAAATCTCAAAATTCTAAAATTGCTAAAATATGTGATGATTTGAAAATTAATCAAGAAATTTACATTTTAATGCTGAATCAAAAGTCTAATGAATCGTCATCATGGGGTTTTGGGGTTTTGGGGTTTTGGGG